GTATGCTTCATGAAGTTCTCATGCTGTGTTTTTCAGGTCCATCAGGTCATTTATGTTCTTCTCTAAATTGGTTATTCTAGTTAGCAATTCCTCTGACCTTTTATCAAGGTTCTTAGCTTCCTTGCATTGAGTTAGAACATGCTCATTTAGCTCGGAGGAGTTTGTTATTACCCACCTTCTGAAGCCTACTTCTGTCAATTAGTCAAACTCATTCTCTGTCCAGTTTTGTTCCCTTGCTGGTGAGGAGTTGTGATCCTTTGGAGGAGAAGAGATATTCTGGTTTTTTGAATTTTCAGCCTTTTTGTGCTGGTTTTTGATCATCTTCATGGATTTATCTACCTTTAGTCTTGGCTGTTGGTGACCTTTGGATGGAGTTTTTGCATGGTCATCCTTTTTGTTGATGTTCATGCTCTTTCTTTCTGTTTGTTAGTTTTCCTTCTAAGAGTCAATCCCTTCTTCTGCAGGTCTGCTGGAGTTTGCTGGAGGTCCACTCCAGTCCCTGTTTGCCTTGGTGTCACCAGCGGAGGCTGCAGAACAGCAAAGATTGCTGCCTGTTCCTTCCTCTGCAAGCTTCCCCTGAGAGGGGCACCTGCCAGATGCCAGCCGGAGCTCTCCTGTATGAGGTGTCTGTTGACCCCTGCTGGGAGGTGTCTGTCCGTCAGGAGGCACAAGAGTCAGGGACCCACTTGAAGAGGCAGTCTGTTTCTTAGCAGAGCTCGAATGCTGTGCTGGGAGATCTGCTGCTCTCTTCAGAGGCAGCAGGCAGGAATGTTTAAGTCTGCTGAAGCTGTGCCCACAGCTGCCCCTTTCCTCAGGTGTTCTGTCCCAGGGAGATAGGAGTTTTATCTATAAGCCCCTGACTGGGGCTGCTGCCCTTCTTTCAGAGATGCCCTGTCCAGAGAGGAGGAATCTAGAGAGGCAGTTTGGCTACAGTGGCTTTGTGGTGCTGCAGTGGGCTTCACCCAGTCCAAACTTCCCAGTGGCTTTGTTTACACTGTGAGGGGAAAACTGCCTACTCAAGCCTCAGTAATGATGGACATCCCTCCCTACACCAAGCTCGAGTGTCCCAGGTCAGACTACTGTGCTGGAGCAAGAATTTCAAGCCGGTGGATCTTAGTTTGCTGGACTCCATGGGGATGGAATCTGCTGAGCAAGACCACTTGGCTCCTTGGCTTCAGCCCCCTTTTCAGGGGTGTGAATAGTTCTGTCTCGCTGGCATTCCAGGTGCCACTGGGGTATGGAATAAAACTCCTGCAGCTAGCTTGGTGTCTGCCCAAATAACCGCCCAGTGTTGTGCTTGAAACCCGGGCCCTTGTGGTGCAAGCACCCAAGGGAATCTGCTGGTCTGTGGGTTGTGAAGACCATGGGAAAAGTGTTGTATCTGGGCCAGAGTGCATGGTCCCTCAGGGCAGGGTCCCTCACAGCTTCCCTTGGCGAGGGGAGGGAGTTCCCCAACCCCTTGTGCTTCCCCGGTGAGGCGATGCCCCACCCTGCTTCTCCTTGCCCTCTGTGGGCTGTACCCACTGTCTAACCAGTCCCAGTGACATGAACTGGGTACCTCAATTGGAAATGCAGAAATCACCCACCTTCTGCATTGGTCTTGCTGCGAGCTGCAGACCGGAGCTGTTCCTATTTGGTCATCTTACCCGGGAATCGAGAATTTTTTAACTTTCTGATTTACTTCAAAATCTCTGTCTTGTTCATAAATCTTTGTAATTGACTACATTGTAGTCAGACTTCTTTATGGTGTATACTTTAATCATTAACATGGGAAAGGAGGGAGAAAAGAGAAGGAGAAACATGTAACATTTTTTTCTCAATTTTGTTATTTTTCTAATTCACATTTTAGAAGTCTAAATATATTCTAGACGTGTAGAAAGTATTTTAATTCTGGCAGTCATTAGTAGCACATTGGCACTTCAACCTCAGCTGCTCAGAAGCCTGCCAGTAGATTGTTTAGAGTTTTTATGCCTTAAGGAACAGCTGCACTTTATAGCAGCACTTGGTTTCAGTTTTTACATTTCATCTGAAATACATTTATGTGATATAACTTGTTAACTTTCAGCTAGCTGGAAATCCTTAACTCTTCTTATGCAATACATTATACATAGGATATACTGGCCAAACCAAAACAATTTCATAATGACAGAGAATGCCATTACTAATTACAACAGGACAACAAGTGTGAAGAAAGGCTATCATTTCTATTGGCTTTAAGTAAACTCCTCTTAAGATTATTCTTAACATCCGAAGGTTTAACCTTCTTAACATCACCATCTCAGTGGCTTAAAACAATTACTGTTTTATTAATGTTTATGATTCTGTGGGCTGGCAGTTTGGACTGGAATGGCTAGGAAGGCTAGGATGCCTGGCACAACTGGGCCTTTCTCCACATCGGTTCTCATTCTTCAAAAATTGGTCACATTCCACATGCAAAATGTGCTCATCACCATCCTAGGATTTCAAAAGTTTCATCCCACTAATAGCAGCAGGTCCAAAGTTCAAGATATTGTCATCTAAATCTGATCTAGATGCAAATGACGTTTCTTGGGTTTTGCTCCTTGGTGGAACTCATTTCTGTGTTCCCACACATCAAACATACAATGGTGAGGCAGGGACAGAATAACCACCATCAACATTCTCATTCAAAGCTGGAGGAGTAGGAATCATATGGCTCTAAATGGTACATAGCAATTCTGAAATCTCACGGGACACATGTTGCCAGGCCACCTACATGGGGAAGAGAAGGGAATATTCTTTGAGTAGGGCCCATTCAATTTCCTCAGGGTGGTTCTGTAGTTCATGGTTCTTTTTTAGGCTTTTGGTTTTGCCCTCTGGGTTCTTGGCTCTGTCCTCTGAGATATCCTTCCTCTTTCATAAGAAATGATCTGTATTAGCAGCTGAATAACTTTCTCAGTCTGCTTACTGACTACAGAAAATTGAGGACCCAGATAATTTTCATTTTGAAGTGTTTCAATCTTAATAATCCAAGATAGTACCATGCCCTTAAAAACTCTTTAGGCCCTCTCTGTATCAGATTATAGTCTACTCAATGTGACAGAGGCTCCATTTGCAATTCTTTTCAAAATAGGCTCCTTCCTATATTGGCTGGCATGTCAGAATGTTGTTCGACCAGTTCCTTTTGTCTAGTTAAGATGATCTATTAGTCTTCACTTTAAATCATTCAGAGATTTCTGAAAAAGTTATTAAAACCACATACTTAATTTGATCTTTGAAGACCTTATTTTACTATGCACATCTTTTACCAGCAAATCCTGTGTCCTATATTCCTTCAGTTTTGCTCACAAACTGAACATTTTCTTCTCTAGCTCTTCTCTGTTTTAGACCTTATTATATAGCCACAAGAAACCAAGTCAGCATTCTGCCTGGAAATCTCATTAGCCAGATTCACAAATTCATTATTTCAATTTTCTCTATTCTAGGTTACTGAAGGTGTCACTTTGGTCTTATTTATTTATTTATTTACTTATTTTTGCAGGTTATTCCCAATTTAAGTCTTTTTGAGTTTCTTTCTGCAATATTTTGTATTTTCCAGTGTGCAGGTCTTACACGTATTTTCTTAAATAAGTCCCTATGAATTTTGCATTTTGGGCTGGTATTATAAATAGAGTTGTATATTTTGTTTCATTTTTAACTGTCCATTGCAAGTACAATTGATTTGTGTATATTTACTTTATAACCTGTGATTGTGTTAAGTTCATGTATTTTTTTCTACTGGGATTTTTTTTGGTAGATTTCTTAGTATTTTCTATGTACACAATCGTGTGTACAAATAAAAAAGGTTTTGTTTCTTTTTTTTTTTCAAACTGTATTTCTTTCTTTTTCTTGCCTTATTGTAATAGCTAGGGTCTCCAGTATAGTGTTGAATAGAAGCGATGAGGGTAAATATCCTTGTCTTGTTCCCTATCTTAAGTGAAGAGCACTCAGTCTTTCACTGCTAAATATGCTACTAGATGTGGGTTTTTCATAGATGTCCTTTATTGCATTGAGGAAGTTCCTTTCTGCTTCTAGTTTACTGAGATTTTGTTATGAATGGGTATGTTATATTGTATTTAAATTATATCTCAATTTCAAAACTGATTTAATAAAAGTGATATTACATATTATATATACCAAAACTTATACAGGGCAACGTTCTTAGTTTAAGAAACAACTTAAACTGTGTAAAGTTAAAAAGTTTAAGAAAACACTAGTAAAGGCTAAAAAAATTTATTTTAAAGTCTGTTAACTACCATAGTACACGTAAAATAAAACTGTTGTTTGATGGTTTTGCTTTTGGAAGTGTAAAATTAAGAAAGGAATTGCTATCTTTCCATTCTTTAAGCTAGTATTTCAAAACTAAATGTTATTTCTCTGTGTGATTGCCTTTGTCTGTAAAATCTCAATTGAACTTTTCTAATTAACACAAATGAAATATTTTAATTTTCTTTTGTTTTCCTCAGAATAGTCTAGAATGTTAACATTTAGGAATTATTTTTCTTTCCTTTTTTTTTTTTTTTTTTCATTGCGACAGAGTCTCCTTCTGTCACCTAGGCTGCAGTACAGTGGTGTGATCTCGGCTCACTGCAACCTCCACCTCCCAGGTTCAAGTAATTCTCCTGCCTCAGCCTCCCAAGTAGCTGGGACTACAGGTGCGCACCACCACACCTGGCTAATTTTTGTATTTTTAGTAGAGACGGAGTTTCACTGTGTTAGCCAGGATGGTCTTGATCTCCTGACCTCATGATTGGCCTGCCTCGGCCTCCCAAAGTGTTGGGATTACAGGTGTGAGCCACTGCTCCTGGGCAGGAATTATTTTTCTTATTTGGTGTATAAATACTACAATATATTCTATGTAACATTAAGTAATTACCCTGTAGGTTAAATTCTGAATCAGTATGGTAAGATTTTATTTCTATTTTTATCACAGATTAGAAACTAAGGCTCAGTAAATGACTTGGTTATAGTTATTTCTCTTTTTATGGTACTTTTTAAAATAGGAGTTACTTAAAGATCCACTCTACATTGGACTACGGCAGAGAAGAGTAAGAGGTTCTGAATATGATGATTTTTTGGACGAATTCATGGAGTCGGTTTCTTCCAAGTATGTATCTTTATTTTATCTATATTTTAGTCAGTAACAATAACATAACAGACTATTAAAAAATCAAAGATTTATGCAATATGGTTTAATAATTAGAAGTAATTTGAATGCATATATCCTATCTATTTCCTCATAACTGTTAACGGACAAATGATAATATCATGTGTCTATCCAGAAAAGATTATCTCTGTTGCTGTCCCTGAATCTACTTTTTTTTAACAAGAATCTTTAGAACCTGTGGCTGTTGAAATGCATAATTGTGGTAAAGGAGACAGTGACCAGTGATTAAATTACCTGCACACCTTTTTATGTTTATTGACAGTCTATACTTTCTGGTTGATGGTAAAATCTGATCTTCAGACATCTTTGTGGCTGATATTTGACTCTTTTATGGTCAACCACCAGCCACAAAGGAAAAGCAGAAAAAGAGGTGGGGATTGAGCATGAGTTGGTAGAGTCCACAGGGGTCCAGAATGGAGCAAGAACAGGGCAGTCCATCATGATCCACACATCTCTGATTAAAACTATATTTGATTAAAATGCAGTACTATATAGGTTGAGTGTCTCTTATCCAAATCACCCGAAACCATTAGTGTTTATGCAGATTTTGAAATATTTGCATATATATAATGAGATGGTACCCATATCTAAACACAAAATTTATTTGTTTCATATAAATCATATACACATAGCCTAAAGGTAATTTTATGCAAAAGTTTAAATAATTTTGTGTGTAAAACCAAGTTTATGTACATTGAACCATCAGAGGCAAAGATGTCACTATCTCAGCTACCCATGTGGACAGTGTATGGTCGTTTGGCATCACCATTATCCCTGGCTCTGAATTTTATATGCTACCAAGAAGCACTCATTTTTTGGCACTTATCACACATAAATCCTTAACAGCAAAAAACATAGTTAATATACCATTAATGCAATGAAAAACATAATGTATTCAGGGTAACTTGTGGCATCATATCAGCGCTCAAAAAGTTTCAGATTTTGGAGCATTTTGGATTTTGGATTTTTTGGATTAGGGATGCTCAACCTGTATTTTCATCTTTTCAAGTAAACATTTGATTGTGGGCCAGATGCTATAGTAAATTTTTCCATTTTTTTTTTTTCCAGAAAAGAGGCTCCCTCCATAATTTAGTAATATATTCGAAGAGAATTTTATCACACTGACAGTCATCCCTTGGTTACTGTATAACCACAGAAACCGCATGCTATTTAAAAACACATATGTTGCCTTGGTTTTTCTTAGAAATAAAGTCATCACTAGAATTAACTGTAACTAGAGACGCACTTCTGGTTTCTTTTTATTATAATGTTTATTTTTAAGAAGTTGTATCCAACAGCAGAAAGTGCTTTCATCAGCTTGCACAACATTTAGAATGCATTTAACCTCTCATTACTCAAGGTTTTAATGCTGAGTACATTTGCCAATTAGTATGGACTACATTTTAGAACCACATGCTTGATTTATTTATTGTAATTATTTAACCTATTTCATTAAACTATACTTATTTATAGAAATAGTTGAGAAACTCTGCAGTTTTTTTGAGGTCACATAATACAGTTAATTTCTAATAGCTTTTCATATTTAAAGTGGCTTATCTTGTGAAAAGCTCATGTAAGGTTTTGAAATTATCCAACTTCTCGGTAGCACCATTAATCAAGAGATTGTATAGATAATAGTGTAAGGCTGTATAAAAGGAATGGAAATGCAATCTGGAATAAAGTCTATCTAAATGAGACAACTTTAACAAACAGACACTGCTAACAAGTTAGGTACACGTAAGTGCTGATGAAATAAGGGGAGAAGGAATTTTTATTATTGGGAACCAATGAAAAGCTTTTGGGAAAAAATGAGATATGAGTGAATTTTGAATATTTTGTGTCAATCCAGAATCAGGAAAACTGTTGTTTTTTTAATGTGGAATTGAGGAGTTACCTAAGTTCTTTGTAAGGAAACAGGGATTGACAAGTGTCAACAATAATTTTAAATGTAGAGATCACCTATAAATCAGGGGTTGTAGTTCCAGAGAAAAATGCGAAAGACTAAAAAAATACCTCTGTCATAACATTGTTTCAGGAAAATGATTTAGATGTGAAACCTAACACTACCCAATTAAATTGAGAAGTTGTACTGAAGATAAACCCAAGATTATTTTTAAAAGAAGCATAACTTAAATTCAAAGTGGGAAATGATTGTTACAGGTTACCTAGACATCAGACTCTGAGATAGGGTTTATTAAGGAGTACCCTTGGGCTGGGCACAGTGGCTCACACCTGTAATCCCAGCACTTTGGGAGGCCGAGGCAAGCGGATCACTTAAGGCCAGGAGTTGGATACCAGCCTGGCCAACATGGCGAAACCCTGTCTCTACTAACAAATACAGAAACATTAGCCAGGCATGGTGGTGTATGCCCGTAATCCCAGCTACTTGGAGGCTGAAACACTAGAATTACCTGAACCTAGGAGGTGGAGGTTGCAGTTAGCCAAGATCACACCACCGCACTCCAGCCTGGGCAACAGAGCAAGACTCTCTTTCTTAAAAAATAATGATAATAATAATGGAGTACCTTTGGGATAAACCTCTTTGGAAGAAAGGGCGTAGTACAGAAGTTATAGTGCAACATGGACCCACCAACAGCCATGGATAACTTAGTTGGGACCACCCCTGCATGCTGTTTAGATACTTACATGGACATTAATTTCTGCCCATCAACCTCCCCCTCTTTCTCCTTCAATGCCCATCAACCTCCCCCTCTTCCTCCTTCAATGCAGTGTTGGTTTTTTTATTTGCCATCTTGGTAGGTTTGGGGTAGAGCAGCTTCAAATTCTTCCTCTTGGTCTTCTCCACAATGAGAGCTCTTCATCACAGGCTGAGGATTTGATGAGAGTCTTGTGGCACTTACCAAGTCTGTCTTTTCTGATTACACATTTAGGGTCTGAGGAATCACCACTAGGTGGATCTGTGGTCACAGTGAACCTATTATGAGCCAGACTTTGGCTGGGGCTCCATTTATTACTGGCTCCTATAAGCCTCTACTCTAAAAGGGAAAGGGGAACAGCATTTTGATGCTTCAGGTCACCAGGTATCAGTGTCAACTGTGTGCTCATTAACTCCTCAAACATTTGGATAGTCCTTCTCCAGTGCCCAGTTACTTGGGTAAAGGACTGTAGTTCCCTGTGGATAAATATTGGGGGGATTATTATCCTGTACTCTTGTCATGGTGTTAAAAGGTTCTTTCTTCTGGGAACTAGGCCTCTTCTTCAGTTTGTGGGTTCTGGGTCTAAAAATTAACTCAGGTTTGGAAGCTGAGCAAGAGATTGTGACTTCACTGGGGCAGCTACACTCAACTTTGTGGTCATTCATCTTTGGTTTCTTTTGATGGTAAATATTGAGTAGTAGCTTTGTTAGCTCTCTGTTTTGCCTCTAGGGATGCAAGATTCCATTAATTATCTCAATAATGTTTTGTGGGTTAGCCAGCCACACACACACACACACACCACTTTTGCCGCTCTTATGATAATTGTGTCTACCTGGTTTCTGATGGTTAAGCATTCTCACTTGGTCTCAGCATCCTCATTGCTATCAGTCAGCCTGGTTATATATAATCCTTTTCTTCTGTCACTCCTGACCTTCAGGGGAGAACCACTTCTGAAATTTTTAGTAATATTGGTGTCTTCTCATTGGCATATTCCTTATGGCTTTGGGAAATGGTGTGTTTTCTGGGTCTTCCTGTGGTATATATTCATCTTAAGGATTTTCTGGCTTTTACCTCGTATCTATATATCAGACTGCCCAGTTCTCTGAGCCTCGCAATCCCCTCTTCTGCCATCTGCCACAGCATTCCTGGCATTTCAGTCATATTAGTACCAGCCATTAATTTGTCCATATTTCTAGGAACCATCCTAGTAGTGAGTTTGGACCATCTTCTGGGATTCTTGCCCATTTTAAATCCTGCATCTCAGGAGAGTGCCTGCAAATCAGTAAGCTCTGCCTTTTCTTAGGTTCCAGCCCTTTTAATCAAACACCCTCAACATTTAATTCTACATGTATTCTCCTGGCTAATACAAACTATCTAGGTCTTGCGGCTCCTTTGGGGTAATGTCTCTTTCTTTCTTTATTAACTCTAGTGTGTCCCAGATAGGTTATATTGTGATAAAACCTTAGTTATTGGCCCAGGGATCTGCAGGGGAGGCAGAGGTAGATGGTAGTTAAGGGGCACATGTTATCTTATAGGGGTGAAATCTCTATCCTTATTGTCCCAAGAAAGAAGGGGAAGGCCACTTTGTGAGATTAGAAAGCTCTGGGGGAATCTGGGGATTCAGGATTTCAGAAGACATCAAGCCAGACATCCCATTCCATGTGGCAAATTCCCATTCTTTTCTAACTAGGATTCTGACTTAGCAGATCTGCTTTCATTGAGTTTGGGAGCTTGAATATTCTGATGATTAAGCCCTGTTTCTGGACATCAACTTTCTTTACCCAACAGCTACAGAAGCTGAGAACATCTTTGTATTTACAAAGAAGGCCCTCTGGCTTTCTTCTTGGCAGTTACTTTCTCTGAGCTTTTTGTGTTTTTTCCATTGTCCTTATAGTTACTACTTCTCTCGTATTTCTCAAACATCTGAAATACCATTCTAACTAAGATGTTCCCTTCCCAACATCTCAGCTCACCTCTGGTGAGTTTTAATAGTTGGACTGCTACCTTGGACCGGGTGTGTGCTCCATCTTCTACCAGTGGTGGGGTCCTCATTACCACTGTGGCAGTGAGTTAACTAGCACCAAAGCCCCGTCTTATTACCAGCTTTCTCAGACTATTCCAAGATTAGGTTACCTGGGAGGCGCATTTGGAAATGAAGTTTAGTGTTTAAGAAGTTTTTAAGAAGTGCCCTTGAGACTAAACTCTGTGGAAGAAACAGCAAAGGAAGCAGGAATGGGCAGAGGGAGAAGTTGAGCTGCCTGCAGGCACGATGACAGCTTTCCC